TTTATCAAAATCTGACAAGTGGAAGTGGGTCAAAACAAAGATTTAGTTTGTTACAGGCAAAAGCAGTCATTCAGGCAGTGTGCCTGAGGACTCAGGCAGTTAGTATTAAAGCCCGGTTTTAGGCCTAAAGGGAGGGCTTTGGGTATGTAGGAAAAGTCAAAAAATTTCAACAGCCTCAGACCAATACTTTTTGAGTTATGGAAAAAAAACTACAGGGGGGGGGTCAAATTGACCCCCCCCCAGCAGGAATAGGGTTAAACAAAACTCAAAATTGAAATCTGAAGAAAATGGCAAATGAACGAGTAGATATTTTAAAGGGGGGCGTTGGCATTTTTGTTATTATCTAAAAAGTATGTGTCTGCGGTGTGTGTGTTTGGCCCATGTATGTACTATGAATACATTTGCAAAGTCTAGTTTAAGTCAAGCTAGGGATGCCAAGGGGGGGGGGATTGCTAATAAAGAAACTAGTTTGTATTCTTAAACCCTTCATAAATAATTTCTAAAGCTATGTACGCACTATACATATCCATACAAGGATTTTAAGTTATGATAGTTTTTGCTTTCTTTCTTACATATAAAATTATACAGCACATTACATACTGAGACAAACTGAATCAGTCATGCTAACTGCATTAGTACAATTTACATAATTGTAAAACAAAAATACAAAATACTTTCTAAATGTTTGGTGTGAAATTAAAATTTTCACAAAATTATTCTTTCAGCTGACCATTTTTGGTTATTTAGTAAAGTGTTAAATTTATTATAGTACGAATAAAGTATATTTTTGTAACATGATGTTTTTAAAACTCTTGATATTTTGCAAAATTCTGAGTTTGAATTTTGAAGTATTAAAGGTCCACAACACAAAGATTGGGTAATCAGAAATTGTGGCGAATATTTTATTTTATCTAAGAGAAAATGACCATTTATTTTAGCTTTTTTTCTTGAGTTGTATGTAAATTATCGTGTTTTATTCTTTACACAACTATGAAACAATAAAATTCAAACGCGTTTTTGATGCTAACAGCCTTTTATTTCTCAGGCAAATTAAAAAGTTAAATACCAATCAACCTACATTAGACACAAATAATCAAAATGTAATAGAAGTAACTGCATGACAAGTATTAATGGCATAAATTCAAAAGTAAAAACAAGAATTCAACTATTGTACAAAGTAAAAATGGATTGCAATAATAGATATGAAACAATTCTAAAATATACGTAAAACACTTTCATTGTTTCATGTTCTTGTTCATGCTGTCTGAAAGTAGATTGAAAAGCATTTTCTGCATTCCAAACATGTTTAAATCCATCTTGGAGATAAGAACCATATTATACCTTCCGACACCCCCACAGAGAATAAGGATAAGGTTCAGTTCCTTTCTAGTAGATGCAGATCCAACCTGGAGAAATATAAGGCTTAGGTTATATGATAAGTCAATGTGGTTGTCAAATCTTGTAGCATGCTTTAAGATATTTGCTGCTGCAAATATAAATATCACGCTGCTAAAACCGTCTAGATGGCACCACACGCTGAACTAATTAGTATAACATTATAATCCAGAGTATACTCATCCATCTTTTAGCAAAATAACTGGCAAATAAAAAAAATGACTTGACATGAAAACTAAATTTAAAAAGTGTGCGAAATTAGGGGAATTGAGTCTCATGCCACATAATCTGATTTTTAATCCCTAATCTTTGAAGCCTAATGGTGTAAACGTTTGATATTTCAAACTAGGTCATTTGATTTTTAACAGAATTCTTAACTTTAAATATCTAAGGTCTTTAAAATCCGAAGACGTTGTTTTGTTAATATAATCAATTAATGGCGAATTTTAGATAAGACTTTAAATAAAAAAACATACTTGGTTAGGCGTGAGAAATATTTACATTTTTACATTGTCACAAGACACACGAAGTTGCATTTAAATTGCAAATGGCTACAGAAAATCGTAATAAAATACTCTAAAAAGAAAAGTGTCTTCTCTTGAAGTTTACTGTTTCAAATAAATAAGATTAGAATCTTAAATTGGAAATTTTCACATTTAAACTTTAATGTAGTTTTTAAAGGTTCCAAATGTAGTAAATACCCTACTCCATAAAAGTCTTTCAGACCCGTATCAATCCAGGTACAACTTAATCCCTCTCGTTGGTCTACGAGGCATAAAAGCTAATCAGTTCAATCACACTTATATCCATGTCAAACACGGACACGATCTCTTGAGCTATCAATGTTAAACACGATCACGATCTCATAAACTGTCAATGTCAAACACGGACACGTTCTCTTGAGCTATGAATGTTAAACACGATCACGATCTCATAAACTGTCAATGTCAAATACGGACACGTTCTCTTGAGCTATCAATGTTAAACACGATCACGATCTTATAAACTGTCAATGTCAAACACGGACACGTTCTCTTGAGCAATCAATGTTAAACGCGATCACGATCTCATAAACTGTCAATGTCAAATACGGACACGTTCTCTTGAGCTATCAATGTTACACGATATTCATTACACCGAGGTTTAAAGATTGCTAACAAATATTTGTTCTTAATTTTCAAATTATTAATTTAGTGTATTAGTGAAATGTAAAAAATATCCATTTTTTCGCAATATTTAACAAAATGTACAGTGCATGTGTTTCAATTCTAGCTAAGGTATAGCTTATTCGGAAGGTACTTTATGACATACATCTTTTAACTATCAAAACGCCGCGAATTTTTTGAGAAATACTCGCATATCTAAAATATACAGCTCTCGTATATATTTTTAGTACACAACATGTGCATCTAGTAGAAAAGTGGGATGTAAAGGGTAAAAGATCAAGTAAATGCGTGAATGCGTACTCTTTTCAAAAACTAAACTAAGAAATGATCCGAAAGAGACGTGACTTGGAAATTTGTTCTTCTCAATAAGAAATACATTTTACAACAATTTAACTATTTCATTTTTTAAAATATCTGTAAAAATATTAAAGTAAATACGGAGTTTCACCACTTTATATGTTTGTTTTTGCACTTAAAATTCAGTCATCTACAGGGTTATCCACAAATAATTATACTTTAAAGACGACTGTAATGAATTTATACTTTTTTATGTTCATGATTCCTGCAACTGCAGTACACTTGTTTCTTTAGCTTTACCTAATAATTGAATAAGCCAATTCAAAATGTTTTATTTATGTAATATCAAATTAAATCTGGGAATTGTGGGGATTGGGTAACCCTAGGATTAGGGGGGGGGGGAGGGGAGATTTAGGTGAAATGAAGTTTGTGCTTACATTTACAAGACAGCTTCGACTTTTAAATGTAGTTACATGGCCTTAAGTTTTATCAAACTATCTCACTTTATACTTGTTATATTCCTAAACATAAACTATACAGCTCTAGTATATTCCTATACATGTACATTGCTTATAAACTACACAGCTCTAGTATATTCCTATACATGTACATTGCACATAAACTACACAGCTCTAGTATATTCCTATACATGTACATTGCACATAAACTACACAGCTCTAGTATATTCATATACATGTACATTGCACATAAACTACACAGCTCTAGTATATTTCTATACATGTACATTGCACATAAACTACACAGCTCTAGTATATTCCTTTACATGTACATTGCACATAAACTACACAGCTATAGTCTTTTATATTCCTATACATGTACAGTGCACATAAACTACACAGCTCTAGTCTTTTACTCTATTTCGTTTAATGTGAGTAATATTCTTATAAATTCTTATCTATTTCCTAGACCTTTTCAACCTTATGTCCTTTGATATTTAACGCTATGCATTTTATTAAAATCCTCCTTCAGCCTGCTTACACAAAGTTTCATTAATTTTTAAGACAGTGTCGAATTTGAAGTGTCACAACGCCTTGGACTTTGATTTTACCGGCTATAACTCATTTATGCTTTTCTGTAGCCCTTTACATGTAAATTTTAGCAAAATAAAGAACTTGCAGTTAGTTTGTTTTAAAGGGTCAATTCCTCTAAAACAAATCGTGACGTATAGTGAAACAGCGTGAGTTAATATGAGTTTTTAAAGATTTGAAATCTATATTACCTTATTATTTGCTGACTGGTGAACCATGATAAATATGTAAATACTTAAAAAAGTTAACAGAGCACCCTGAACAAACAGAATTATTTAGATTTAAAAAAATAATAAAACATGTTTAACTATTTCATTCAGTTTTTGTTTAAAGGACAATTGACGTAATTTCAGCTGACGTTCCGTTTTGAATGGCATGTCCGAATTACTAGTTACCCTTCAAAGCTTTGTCTGATCAATAATTCATAAGGAATCAATGATTTTCTCTTTAAAAATTTTTTTTTTTTTCAATTGTGGTTTCTTAATAGAGTGACTGACGTATTTTCTGTGTCAGAAACAAAAATAAATAAATCAATAGAATTAAAATGAAGATATCTGTCACATCATTAATAAGATAAAGGTTTAGGGACTGCAGTTACCTGCTTTGAGAAACATTGTCTCATCAAATGTTTTGCGGTTGCCATCTTTTTATCAATCTGCATATTATCCATATTTTCATAATTTAAATTTTCTATGTTACATAATTTATAAATTTTACAACCGAAATTTGTTAGTTTCTTTCATTATTTTCAGATCCTTCTGAATAATTTGTCATTAATTTGCAACCTCCAATGTCGCATATTTAGGGAATATAAATTTAAGCTTAAGACTATTTGATCTAACAGAATTCATGGTTTGAAATATCAAAAGTGATTTCAGATTACAAAAATAAAGGGATTAGAAAAAAATCCATTTATAAGATTATAATGCTTTTTCGGGTTTCTTCAGGAAACTTTATCTTTCCCCAAACATTATTTATCTTTCACCTTTGTCTTATTCTAAATTTACTTCATTTGCTGGGTAACGTGTATTTATCATAAATATATTCGAATTGTAATTAAAATGTTTGTTTTTTTATTTTTGTCGTGTAGATTTAATTTAGAAAGACTGAGATTAAACTAAGTATATAAAACTGATTACAGATTTCATTAGAAAAATAGATCTCATTAATCTCCTAATCTTCTTTAAAATAAAAAATGTTAATAAAATATGGATTCCTCTCATCTACTCGTCATCATAGATCTCAATCTGAAAATAAAATAATGAGAAAATGAGAAAAAACCTTGAACAAGAAAAAAACATCAATTCGGTTCAATTCAAACGCTTAAAAATTATAATTCTATGGGTGTACATGATTAATTTCTATAAAAGTAAGATACGTTCATGAAAGTAAACTCCACGTAAGACATCTAAATCATTTATGTTTTCAATCACAACATCTCTTATTAAGAAATTATATTTAAACTAGCTTTGTAACCCAGATTTGCCTGGGAAAAAAGTTGTCTTTATTTAAGGGTCAACGAGGGAGTAAACCTATTAAACTAAGAACTTTTAAAGCTAACTAAGAACATTCCCGCTGTTCTAACGAGTTCTCATGTCAAAGTTTGAGGCAAATTGGTTAAGGTTTCCTGAGCTATGATCGGGACCATGAACAAAAAAAAACAGAGATAAGTCCTTTATATAAATAGATATATTCGCTATAGCTGGCCAAACGGCTGGACCAAATTAGCTGAATTTATTTGAGGGAATTCCACGGCCAATGCTTGGTACTTAAGCTTAAATAAAACTGCAATATCAAGATTTATGCGGGGGTAAACACCTTGGGTAAATATGGCTTTGAATAATGATATACCCCTTGGCAACGCCGGTTACTCCATCTAGTTTATTAGAAAAGTAATCAAACTAAAGAACATTATGATGATTAAAGAGCTATGTAATATTATTGTAGCCTAGAACAATTTTAGGATGATTTTAGAATGCTAGATTGCAAAATATTGTTAAACGATTTTGTTTTCGTGAAATATATTATTTTGAAACATGTCATAATTGCAGAATTTTTACACCTGTACTTAAGCAAATCTGTCACGATGAAAAATAAAGGATGGGACTGGGAGGGAGGAGGTTGAAGGGGGGTAGGAAGGGAAGGGGATTGCCCTTTCTTAACAATTCTTAACATTAAATATGTTAATGAATAACTTTGAACTTTATATTTCGTCGTATCTCGGAAAGCTTTAATATACTTTACTCTAACAATTGTGGAATAATTTACGGGTTTGCTCTTTTAAGACTGTTTTTTAATTGCAATATACTACTCTTACTTTTACTTGCACGTTTAGAAGCTTAGCACTTTTTGTTACCCCGCTTGGATTTTATATCTTCTTATGGTCAACGATTGAGGCGGTTCTGTATCATGAGAGAAATAGAAAAATCTGAATACTATCTGAAAATGTCAAAACTTTATTGAATTATCCTTGACTAGGTAAACTGAAGTGACTGAACACATACTGACAAAAGACAAAAAAGTAGCGAGCCAGACAAAAAACGCATGTTTACTGGGGGGTCTGGGGGGTCTGAATCTATGTATAGCCTGGGGGGGGCGTTTGGCGCCCCCCCCCTAGAAAAAGGCATCAACGAATAGGTATAGGGTTGAAATGTATGTGCATAGCCCAATTTTTCATGGCCAGCTTAAAGAAAAAAAATTAGACCGATAACTTTAATAGTTTGGGTGCTAGGGAGGGTGGAAAAAAACCTAAAAAAGGGTCAACAAAATTCTTTAAAAATATTTTCGGACTTTTATTCGTCAAGTACCGGACCCTACTCTATACATTTTTTTAAAAAATCCTTTATATTACTATTCAATAAAAGTCACAACATTTCACGGTGATAGTGTCACAAATCAGAGTGCTAGGACAAAACAACTACAGGGGGCGCCACAACCCCCCCCCACAAGCCAGGAAGGTATCTATGCAATCTAAGATGCGCGAAAGATTGCGATTTTCTTCGGAACATAAAATTCATGGATTAGTTTGAATGTGATTTTTTTCTTCACTATTCACTTTGCATAGTTATATAGCTGTGTACTGTGTAAAGACTTAAGCATGGTTGTGTTTAAAATATAAAAATTGTTTCATTGTTAAAATAATAGATGAGTGCAGAGCGTACCACTGCGCGCTTGCATACTCGTGTGTGCTTAGGTTTCTCCCTACTAGGCTACTAACCCTGGTTTCTCTCAATATACCCTGGTAAGCCAGGTCACTTGGAAACTATCTACCTATCTACCCATATTACTAAACCCCCGGTTTTTTATTTACAGTTATGAGAAGTGATCGGGATCTTAAAAGATTAGTGTTTATTTATATCGTTAAAACACGAGTAAATTCATTTAAATATATCGTTTATTATTCAATAGCTCTTGGTGCAGAACCTTTTATTTAAAAAAGGCTATTTAAAGAATTATTTATAGAATTAAATTGAATAAATGATAGTAAAGTTTTGTTATTATGTAAAAGGGGTTGAAATGTGGTTAATTTAGTTTTTAAAGTTATAATTTCGTATATTTTACTTTCTGTAACAGAAATCAACCAAATTAATAAAAGAGATTAAATGTCGTCTTCCAAATAAAAGTTTCCAGCACCCAGCTGTAATTCCTAACAGAAAATATCCAGCTTTAAGGGACTGTGAGCGCAGTTTTAAGTTACTCTCCGGCTTCGTTTATAAAGTGGCACACCTGATTCACAATGGTTACCTAGTAAGCGCTTTTTCTGATCAAGTGTGAAATTAGGTAATGCTTTGTTTTAAACTTCAGCTTTTGCAAGGATGTATGGCAAGGAAAGTCATTTCAGAAGTGTACACATCTTTAGTACTGCAGTGTACTGTCTCTGGGCGCTAATGTAAACACAAGACGGATGTCGAAGCCTGACATGGGATCCATCATTCACATAAAAAATCAATGAAGTATTCTGGTCATAGGAAATTATTATGTGAATTATCAAAATTATCAAAATTTAATGCTTTTAACCTCCTCGGATACTAAACGAACACTGATGCATCTATTATTGTTTACAAATTCCGCCCAGAGAGAACTGGTTTCAATATGTACACAGAGTATACACAACCGCAATTGACTTTCCTTGCCTTACATTCTTGAGCTTTTGCATCATATAAACATAAGAGACATTTTCAGAATTAAAAATTTTTTCAAGTCAGTAAAACGACGTCATATTCCACATTATTGATCAGATTAATGTTAATGAGGGGTACTGTTATGAATCGGGGATATCCCTTTAGCTTTAAATGGCGGATACTTAATAAGTTAAGACGACAGTTCCTTTTCATCACTTTCTACTTAAACTATAAATTTGTAACCTCGTATACATTCTTATTTGAATATGTATTAAAATCTTAATCCATAGTTTTAGTTCTAAAAGAGGGAAAGCAGGTTAAATACATTATAAATAATAATGATTATTGGTAAATATACATGTAAATTGTAATTTATAGATTAGGTTTGTCAGGTCTATAACAATATATAAATATGTATAAATAAACACACATCTTTTTAAATATTTCAACTTTTTTACGGCGCCAATCACAAATTATTTAAAACTTTTTAGTGTCTGCCTGTAATGGTACCATTTTCTCTATAAAATGACTACCTGTATCTCTGATCTGTGTTTATCACACTTTAAAAAATTACAAAATTATTTAACTGGTTTAAACTGCTTAAAATCTAAATTTAAAAATGTTTTATTGTTTTGTATAGGCATTAGAACTAAACGAAGTGCATAAAGAACAAGTCGTGTCTTTTCTTAGGTAAATATTGTCCACCTCATTTTCGATCAAATAGGTAATGATGAATTTATGATCGAGCAGCATTGAGCTTGCAGCTTGGAGTTCTAAGGCCGAATTTAAAGAATTTAAACCACGTCGCTGAACCGCCAAAAACCGGTTCCAATTGAGCGCCGACTCAAACCTCGAAACATTGAATACAATTTCAAGTGGAACCATGTCCATGTTTGAGCCTCGTCTCAAATTTGAGAGGCGGTACGTTAAAATTCTTTAAATTTGGCCTCTGATCAACGAATCCTCTTCAAATTGAGCCTTTCGACCCTAGTTCTCCTATATTTGATAACATTAAAGGTTCATGCGTAAATGCAACATTGTATTTTCTTCTTAATTGAATCACACTGATATTCTAGATTTGCCAAATATCAACGAGCTCAATGTTTGAAATCAGTTCGAGCTGTTATTCAAGATACAAAGGTAAAATATTATCAAAATAATTGTATTGGAAATTGATTTGCAAATTTCAACAAAAGTACAGTGGACCCAATAGGAAAATGAAATTTGAGCAATTTTATCAATATTTGATGCAGTTATAAAGCATATAGTTTTAATTCCTGCAGTTGCTCAAAAACTGGCTTAAAGGTCGTCTTGATTTTTGATATAATTTGCTGCATTTATTTGTCAGCTAAAATTTAGAAGTAAAATTCTATAGATAACAATCGTATTCCCCTAGTTCTGGCATTTCCAAAATGTGGTCTGCCTTTTTTGTGCTTTCAATATTGCCCAAGATATGAAGAATTTCGTTCAGTTTTCCCCAATTTTGGTTTTATTTAACAAAACTGAAATCTGAACAAAATTCTTAATATCTCCAGTAATATTGAAAGCACAAAAAACGCAGACAACTTTTTGGAAATGCCAGGTCTAGGAGAAATATGGGGTAATTGTTTCAAGAATCATAAATGCTAAAGTAGATCGATTGACGACTAAATGTCACAAATAAATTCAAATATCAAAGACGACTTTCAAGTCGTCTTGCTACTGTCAAGTTTCGCGGAGCACCCTGTATCTCAAATTTCTTTGGAGAAAAAAACTTGAACATTTTAAAACGAATGAATAAATTATTTTGTTAAATACCAGGGTATTCGGATTGAAAAAGATTATTTGATTAAAATTGGGTTGTATTTCAAAGTATTTTAGGTGGAAAAAATAATCAAAACAGCCAAGAGCTATTTTCCACCTAATTGCTTTATACTTGTACTGTTAATATAATCATCAATTTTGTGATTGTAAACTCTATCTGTATACAGATACACTTATGTTAGCAATAAACGTTATCTTATCTATCTTGTCTTAAGATGTTTGTTTGTTGTTTCTAGATGAAGTAGAAGAAACTATTGATATTTAGGATCCTAGATTGACAGATGATACATATACTCTAGATGAAGTAGAAGAAACTATGACAGATGATACATATACTCTAGATGAAGTAGAAGAAACTATTGATATTTAGGATCCTAGATTGACAGATGATACATATACTCTAGATGAAGTAGAAGAAACTATTGATGCTATCACTGAGGTATTGTTTAATGAATTATCTGAACATTTATAAAGCTCATTTTCCTGCAGTCCAAAGACAACATTTTTGTCAATTGATTTGCTGAGGAAACGCAAGGGTCTATATGGAGAAAATGGTTTAATATTCATAATAAAACAAATGGCGCGCGGCTTGTCTCATTGCAAATATATTTCACGTTAATTATAAATACTATAATATTTGAGAGTGCTGTTGCTGAAGTAGAAACTGAGTTGATAAACACAGCTCACACTAACGTACTGCTCCTGCAGCAATTGTTTACTCAAGCTGAAAAATGGCATCTTAACCTAGACACTGATCTTTCACAACTAGAGAACAGGTTGGATTTGTGTACAGCTTTTTACTCGTGTAATTGCTTAAAATAGTTTTATCTACTTTGGATTAACAAGTTTTGTATATTGAGTTAAATTTAACCGCGCATATACATTTTAAAATCGATTTAATTTAGCAATCTGTTAAAATATTTTATATATCCTTATTTTCCTATTTAGAGAACTATTGGAATCCATTAAAGCCTGGGAAGAATCTGATGCTGCAAACTCAAAGGTTGTGAAGCATATTTATTAATTAAAAAAGTTAATTTTAAATTAACACAATTGAGATATTATTCAGAAAGTTATCTAAAAAAATTATTTAAAAGTAAAAAACTATGATATGAAAAAAAGACAGCTACCCAGGGATTTACTTTTTTACTTTTTGGGAAAGTGTTACTTTGCACAGTTTTGTATTTCCATAAAGTAATAGAAAGTAAGGTTGAGGATAGATATATTGAGGATGAATGGAGAATATGAATTAGCTTCATTAATCCAAAGATTATATTGTCTCTAGATAGATGGAGGATGGTTGGAGAAGAAGAAATTAGCTCCATTAAATGAAGGAGGACCTGCTCAGCTACTAAACCTACAGATACAGAAACTAGAGCAGGAGAACTCAGACCTAAGAACCAGGCTTAGAACAGTGAGTTATTTCCTATATATATATTCTTTTTTATCCAATTGATAAAATCTTCGGGTAGTGTACCAATTTATAAATAGAATCAATTACGAGCAAGATCTGCTTACTAAGATTAATTGACTGAATTTTCAATCATATTTTTTATTTAGGTTTAAATAGCTCGCACTAAGATTAATAACCCCATCTTTCTGTTTGCATAAAATTGTACTGCAGATTCTGGGAGGAATGTAAACAAACTTTGTTCAATTCAAGATAGTTAAGTTTTTTTTTCCCCCAGAAACTGCAGTACAGAATTTTTGGTTCCTGGTATGCCTTCCTTGGTGAAATCAAATTTAGAAACTTTGAAACCTTGGCCAGTTTTAACAGGATCAACCAAAACGATATATTGGAATTTATAAGAATAATGGTTTAAAGTTTATTGTATCAAAACTAACGCCTTTAGATATAGAAATTAGAAAATGTTCGTTTATAGTAAATGATGGGGTCCATCATGATGGGGTCCATCATGATGGGGTCGCCCGAAAACTAGACAATACAATTTACTTGACGGATTAGGTCAGTTTCCTCTTTGTTGAATGAGCAGTCACAAACATAAAAAACATATTTACAATGTCATTTATAATTTTCTCTTTCTGCAGAAATTTTTAAAACTAAAATCTTTTAAAATCAAATTTACTCAACGATCGTATTTTTAATTAACCAATATGTTGTAATTCTGAGTTTTCGTTTTTATATATAAGTTTAAAACTTACAGTTTCTTAGAAAAATCAAAGACGAAGTTCGGAGTTCGAAAACCAGGAACCTTGAGATTAGACTGTACTGTGTTGTATGAGTAGAGGAGCAGGCTACCTCAGCTCTGGAGGATAGATCTAGGTTGAAAAGTTTCCTAGAGGAGATGGAGAACCAGAGACCAAGAGAATAAACTGTACTGTGTTGTATAAGTAGAGGAGCAGGCTACATCAGCTCTGGAGGTATAAATCTAGATTGTAAAGTTTACTTGAGGAGATGGAGAACCAGAGACCAAGAGAATCCTTCAGCTCTGGAGGATAGATCTAGGTTGAAGAGTTTCCTATAGGAGGTGGAGAACCAGGAACCTTGAGATTAAACTGTACTATATTGTATAGGTAGAGAAGCAGGCTTCTTCAGCTCTGAAGGATAGATCTAGGTTTACAAGTCTCATAGAGGAGATGTAGAACCAGAGACCAAGAGAATCCTTCAGCTCTGGAGGATAGATCTAGGTTGAATTGAGTTTCCAGAGGAGGTGTAGAACCAGGGACCTTGAGATTAAACTGTACTATATTGTATAGGTAGAGAAGCATGCTACTTCAGCTCTGGGGGAAAGATCTAGGTTTAAGAGTTTCCTAGAGGAGATGGAGAACCAGGAACCTTGAGCTTAAACTGTACTATATTGTATAGGTAGAGAAGCAGGCTTCTTCAGCTCTGGAGGATAGATCTAGGTTGAAGAGTCTCCTAGAGGAGGTGGAGAACCAGAGACCAAGAGAATAAACTGTACTGTATTGTATAGGTAGAGGAGCAGGCTTCTTCCGCTCTGGAGGATAGATCTAGGTTGAAAAGTCTCCTAGAGGAGATGGAGAACAAGGAACCTTCTCCAGTAGTTCAAGATAACAGTGAGGAGATTAAACTGGTAAGCATTCCTTTTCCAAACTAGATTTTCTTATACTATTAAATGCATTCTCCCATATTGCATGGAAAGCAAAAATTTATATTTGAAAACAATATATATTTCTGTCAAAATAACATTTTTTGTGAAACATTTTTCCAAAAGTCACATTTGATGTACAGTTTGGCATAACTATATCATTCAAATAAAGAACAAAAGAAGTTTCAAAAAAATGGTTATTTGTCTAAAAATATGTTCTTTAAATTCTAAAAGTTTACTTAATAGAAGATAATGTTAATTAAAATTTCAGATTTTAGTAATGTTGATACAGTTAACATTCTTTCCTTTCAGATTGCAATAAACGTTACAAAAAAACATGTCCGTGACATTTTACTATTTTGATAAACAAAAAAAAAATGGCAGTTGCCTATATCCAAAGAAAATGCAAGTTTAAAGTTGTTGTTGTTGTTGTGAAGTTTCCATTTCTCAGTTAAAAGGACCTTGGTTACATAAATAGCATAGCCTTTGTTTAGCTGTCTGAGACTGTAGAAGCAGTAAAAAATGAATTCTTGACTGAAAAACAGGAACTGGAACATACAAAGAAGAATATGGAACAGGATCTTACCAGTGCTAAACATAGGTCAATAATCCAGAAGCAAAACAAGGGGGGGGGGGGCAAAACAAGGGAAATATAAGAGGCGATTGTAAAATTAACATAGTTTTTTTAAAATAAAGACAAAATACAGGACATAAAATAAGTCGGTAAAGGAATTGAGTCTTTGCCACAGATTTAGTGTTTGTAAAACCTGTATCTTTGCAGCTTTATGATGTAAACCTTTGATATTTCAAATTTACATTATTTTATCTCATAAAATTCATGGTTTGAAATATTAAAGGTCTACGACATTGGGTTGCAATGATATTGAAATTAGAAAATCAGAGTTTGTTGCAAAAACTCAATTCTTATGACAAAAAAGATTAAATTTTGTGAACAACTGTTAACGAAAGTGTTTAACGTTTTTAATAAACTCTGTTCTAGTTTTTTATTTCGACATTTTTAAGAAAAATTTATTGTTTTTATATTTTAGATATCTGGAAGTTCAGCACCAATTAACCTTGGCTGAGAAGGTTGAAACATGTTTTTATTTACAGGATTTATTTTCATAATTGACTATGGATAAGTTTAAGATCTGTGATATTCTAAAAATTGAACTAATTAATCATCTTAAAATTTTAACTGAATGGTTATTGGCAGTTTCAAATATATCTACGATGGCAAAAAAATTAAATGAAAAAAGATCACATGGGCAATATAAACTTTATATTTTATTTCTTCGAGTTTTAATATTCAATTCAAATCAATAATTGTTCATTAACCATAAAAATTTCATCTGCAAACATTCAAATATTTGTCAAATAATAAATGTTATAATTTGTATTACATACATACAGGAATTGGAGAAAAAGTTCAGTGAGACTGGAGCTTATAAGAACCTCAAGAAAATGCTTTCCAGCAAAAATGAAACGATTAAGTAAGTTCCATTGTTATTTAGTAAAACAAAGAAAATATTTTTGAACTGGAAAACTCAAATTTTATAATCCTTCTATCTTTTCAACCTGATAGTGTAAACTTTTGATGTTTCTAACATAAATTATTTTTTCTAACATAATTTTAAGTTTACAATATCAAAGGTCTATTTTGTTGGTTTGTAAAGATATAAAGATAATAAAATCAGAGTTTGTGGCAAAAATTCAGTTCCTTTAAAAGTTTATGATTTTTACGTTTTTTTTTTGATAAAAAACAATTACTTTTCAAAAAGATGCATGAACAAAATAAAGATAGCTAGCTCTTGTCATTGATAACGTATTAGATAACGTATTACATGAATTTCTTTATGAGTGACATTAACAGAATTAATTAGGAAAAAAATTGCCATTCCCTTGTTGTTCTGTTCTTTTAGTTGATATTTTATTCCATAACTTTTTAGAGAATTGCGTCGGAAACTTATCACATACGAACCAGAAGCAGAAGAAGAAGAATAAAGACGAAATTCAATGAGGCCTGGACCCCTTTCCTTACCAAAATCTGGTTATTGAGAACCTTTCATTAGCGGTTAATACCATCTCATGAAAAATGGTCTTGTAAAAAAACATATTATGGTAATGTTGGTTTTCGCATAACCATTAACGGATTTCACCTTATAAGGAAAGTTGCCCAGGCCTACATTCAATATTAATAAACAATTATTAAAAACATAAATACTATACAGGGTTGGCCACAAAATAAAGACAACAAAGTTACAAGGTTTAAGGAATCGAAGCTTTGTCACAAATTAAAATTTTTTAATCGCTACATCTTTAAACCTAATGGCGTAAACCTTTGATATTTAAACTTTAGATTATTTGATATAACAGAATTTAGTTTTAGAGTTCTACTTCTAAGGTCTATTTGGGAGCAAATAGGTATTAAAACATCAGAACTTGTGGCAATAAATAGATCACTTTTTATAATCAAACAATTCTTGAAATCGGTGTATTTAAAAAAATCAAAAAAAGAACTTTTTTGTGAATAACCTTGATATAACATGTTATGGCTTATTGTGATAATTGATTAGTAAACAAATAAATAACAATCAAAATAGGTTTACTACTTTATGGAAAAGAAAATTAAAATGTAGATTTCACACACACGAAAATAAATAAAAACTTTTAAATTATATTTAAAATTTAGTTTTTACAAGCTTTAGTTTTATTACAGAAAGTACAACCACGTTGACACCTGTCTGTACATTCAACAACTGATTCACCTAAATAATAAATAATATAATATATAATAATAAGATAATTTCTTTAGAAATTTTGGGATTGTAAATTTTAAGTGACCATCCATGCACCGATTTGCATTGGTACCCTAAAAAGCACTGTCTGATTGAGTTTAAATTAGATATCAATTTCATAATTTGAAAATCTTATTATTTTTAATTGTGGTTTCTATACAAAACTCAAACTTTCGCATTTCTACAGCAGGAAATCATAATATTAAACCTAGGAAAATGTTTGCAGAAAGTGTTACAAAATAATAGTATGTTTAATAAGTAAACGTTACACTGTAAATTTTAGTATACAAATACAAACCTGTATTTTTTAAATTCTAGTGTTCCACTCAGTTATAATAACTTTCTTCAAAAATGCATTTGTAAGTATTTCCGTTTGTTTGAAGCTTAATGGTGTTATCCTTACGATTTCAAACTTGACTGATTGATTTAGTTTGAATTTGCGAAATCATGATGCAAAGATACAGGGATGTTAGAAAATTATAGTTTCAGCTTTAGTTCCTAATTATAGATATCAAAGGAACTTCTAGATTTACCTCTTCTACAGTAACTGCACTCTTTAGGTTTAGGGGTTGATGTACATAATGCTTGTTCACAATTTGAGCACTACAGGGTCCATTAATTAATATTCATTCATCATTTTTGGAAGATATTGTAAATTTATGCTTCAAAATTCTTTCCATGTTTTGTAGTTTATAAAAAAATACCTGAGGTCGAATTTAAAAAATTTGAAACGCTTATTCAAATATGAGACGTAGTTCAAACATGGTTGGTTCCACTTGAAATATAAAGTGTTTCAAGATTTGAGCCGGCGCTCATTTTGAACCGGTTATTTTTCATTAGAACAATAAATATCTTATATACTGACCCAGGATTTAGTGGGAAATGGGGTTAAACCAGTGTATATTAATTCAATTAATTTGAAGAACCTATACTGCAGAGATAAAGGGGTAAAAGCAACTATCATGAAAAATACAAAAAAAGTCAGACAGGAGAATAATTTTTTCATTTGTGGATTCATACAAAAAAACGTATTAATGAATTCCTTAGATTCACAATCAAAATCTGGATCTCCATCCGCATCAACTCCCGTTATTGTTATATCCTAGAGAGTAATAATAACATAAATTATTTCGTATGCAATCAAAATCTGGATCTCCATCCGCATCAACTCCCGTTATTGTTATATCCTAGAGAGTAATAATAACATAAATAGTTTCATATGCAATCAGAACTGTAAGAAAAAGATGAAGGCATCATTGCTAGAAATATAATCTCAAGATAATTTGTTTGTAAATTGTTTGGAATCATTTTTGAATTTTTCCACTGTTAATTTTAAAAGCTCTACCAACGAAATTGTAATAAATACCCAAAACAGGAATTTGAAAATTATGTTTGTCAATTATTCTATTAATGTACCTTGCAAGCTTCACATTTATCACAAATTTTATTGAGGAATTGGTTTCTTGTATCTTCCTCTGCTAACACTGCAGATACACAGAACAAAAACCCTGAAGAAACAAATATAAATAATTTCACTCTGAAATGATTTACATCGTTGGCTAACCCCCAAACGATGAGACTTTAATAACAAACAAACAAAACTCTGAAATTATTAATGTTTTCTATCTTAAAGGGACAGACCGGCTATGTAAGGTAGTTAAACTGATTATGAGTGTTGTGAATTCATTTTTGAGACATATTAAAAGTTTCCATGATGTATAATTACTGCGTTTGAGCGCAAAGTCGACATTCAAAATCATGAATTTGGGTGGGTATGTTTTCAGAATCTTTTTTTTAATTGTTAAATAAGGACAACGAAAAATATAGTAAAAATTCTATAGTAAACTAATCAGATGTTTAGGAACATATTTCTCAGAAGAAATTTGTCAATAACGCGAAGTTAGATTAAGTATTTCCTTTTCATCATTATATTGAATTTCTTATTTTCTATAAATTTATTTGCACATTTCTTTAAATTCTTTAAATGTCGTCTTTTTGATACAGAAATTCCAGAAAATCTTTGTGATTAAAGAGAGATTATAGAAACTAATAATTGAATAAGATTACTTATTTTCGATGATATTACCTAATCTTTATTTTCTCAACCTGTTCATGAACAACTAATTAGTTTACTGTAGAAATTGGTTTACATTTTTTATCGTCGTTATTTAGTAATTAAAAAAAAAAATTCTGAAAACGTTTCTACCCAAAAATACTATTTTGAATTTCGAACTCAGGATTTACAGATCTTTAAAAATTCTTATATGTTTCAAATGAATCCTAAAGAATTTGTCCACAACACTGCATTATCAGTTTAACTCCCTTAGCCGGTCTGTCCCTTTAAGTAAAATTTTAAAAGATATCATTAATAATTTGGAAAATACAGTTGATTTAACACAAAGGAATTGAGTCTTTTTTACAAACTCTAATTTTCTAATCCCTATATCTTTGCAATCCAAAATCGCAGACCTTAGATATTTAAAACTATGAATTCTAATAAAATCAAATAATCTAAGTTTGAAATATCAAAGGTTTACACTATCAAGGTGCAATGGAATAAGGGTTAAGAAAGTTTCAGTTTGTGGCTAAGACTCAACTCCTTAAAGCTTGGAACATGCAAGTAAAAAATGTTCCATACAGCCGTCTCTGAAGTAAGATCCTTTGCAGGTATCACTTTCTGAATAAGTGAACAAAGTATTAGAATTGAAAGTACAAATTGATGTTTATTTTTAAGGCTTAATATTATATTTTGTTTGACATTTTCATACTTTTTGAAACACAATAAATTATAAAGTACACATTCGAGGTTTAGTTGTATATATTGAAATAAATATAAGAATCACAATTTAGAAATTATAACGAGAAGGGGGGGGGGGTATTTATTTTTCTTACCGATACTGTAAATGATAAGTTTCATGCTGACGCCTGGTGGATAAAAATAAGGAAGGGTTTAATACGTATAAAGTTATTCCAAGCGTCAAGGTCTGAATACGACTGGACAATGAACGATACAAGACCCTAAACTAGAATCTGGTTTTAGATAATCATCTTGACCCCCCCCCTTCCCCCCCCCTCAATCCTGGCCCAGAAACTGAAAAACAGCATTTAACTCAATTTAATTTTTATATAATGCAACAAACATAACCTGATTTATCTAACAGTTTTAATGACAAAAAAGATCAGTTAAGTTGTTTTAGACTTATTAGAATATGATCTAACTCATATTGAACATTTGTTTTGCAATTTATAATTTTATGTAACTGTGCTTTGCGGACTTTTGTCTTCAGTAGAGAATTTTAAACTGTAATACAGTGGTAACCAGAAAACAGTGGATTGACGCTCGTATTTATTATAAAATGTCGCTAATAATACTTTTGTTTCTGTAACTAAATTATTTTTGAACTGTGCCCTAAACATTTTAGACATTTCTCATTATTCAAACATTTACCCAATCCTTTACGATATTTATTGATTTAAAGAAGAATAAAGACGACATTTATTCCACAGTTTTCTGGCTTCTATCTTTTGTAACTACATCTTTGTAACTCAATTTAAAACTATGAATTCTGTTAGATCAAAAAATCTTAAAGGTTTTCACCATCAGGTTGCAAAGAAATAGGGGTTAGAGAATTTTAGTTTGTTGTAAAAACTTGGTGCCTTTTTTAAATATTGAAACACTTCAGAATTTAATAAAGTTTTAATTTTGATATCTTTCGATACTTCTAGACACTTTTATTTCAAGAAAGATCGTTCGATATAAACAACTGCACTTCAAGGAGACCATTCATTGATTGAGGGTATTTAAACGATTCACAATACCGACCTTATGTTTCTTTCAGAGAAACGTTGGTTATGCCATCTAGAAATTATTAGCTTAAGCCATGTTATGATATTTTATTTCAGATATTTACAATTTGCTTTCAAGAGCTTTAACATCAGGGTTGTAACAGAGTTAAAGAATACTGAAATTTGTCACTTGAAATATAAAATTTCTAAATGTAAATTAAATTTTAAAAAATATTGAAAAAGAAACGACACATCCCTCTTTTTAATTTCTGATATCTTGTATTATTACAACCTGAGCTGGATACTTTTTATTATGGGCATGTACATTTTTTGTGAACCTGCAGATTAATATTTCAATCTTTATTTGATATCCGGCATGGTGATTGTAACCATTCAGTGGTTGACATGGAGCTTTGATCATGGGTTGAATGGAGCTTTGATCATGGGTTGAATGGAGCTTTGATCATGGGTTGAATGTAAATTTGATCAAGGGAAGACAGGGGAAGAATAAATTAAATGAAGGGATTAATCATATTGATCATCTAACTTAAAGTGTCTACAATGGATTTCGAGATCAAGAGATCGGGATTTTGAAAAAAAGTTCGCAGCTCTGGTATAGTAAAATAACGACAACGAAAAATAAAGTAAAAATTATACAGTAATCTTATTAGATGGCTAGGAACATATTTCACAAAAGAAATTTGTCAATAAATCAATGCTAAAATCGATTATTTCGTTTTCATTTTTTTATTGAATTTCTAATTTTCTTTGAATTTATTCGCAGATTTCTTCAAATTCTTTAAATGTCGTCTTTTCAATAATAGTTATAGAAAATCTGCGAACATCTTTGTAAATAACGAGAAACTAGAATAATGAGATAATAGAAACTAATAATTGAACAAGATTACTTATTTTCGATGATAATATTATTTTTTAATTTTCTCAAAATGTTCCTAGACATGACGTTTGTTTATGTCGTCGTTAATTAACAATTTAAAAAAACTAATTCTGAAAGCGTATCCACCCCCAAATCAGGAGTTTTGAACGTTGAATTTGCGCTCAAACTCAGGATTTACAGACTTTTAAAAAGTGAAATTTGTCTCAAATGAATCCTAAAGAAGTTTTCCACAACACTGCGTCCTCAGCTCAACTACCTTACATAGCCGGTCACTCCCTTTAAAAGAGCTAAAAAAAAGGATTAAAATCCAATGACAGGAGAAGGTCTAAATAAAGATTTAGTCCGGTATAAGGTAAACAATGCATTCTGCCAGTATGCGTATAAAAGCCCCACTTCCAACCCAAAGTAAGGAGCATTTCTTAAGTAGAAAAGTCAACAAATGTTAACAGATGCAGACCAAGACTTGTTGAGTTATGTTCAAAAAACGACCCCTTTTTCAAACGGAAATGGTTTAATTCAATTCTCTGTGTGAACTCATGTTTTACTGGTTTTTATCTGTTGCCTACTTTAGACTGTCCTTGTATTAAAAGGAGATCTTGAAAACAGGAAATAAGTTTGGAAAAGGANAGCAGAATAAAATGAAATTTCTTCTTGACACAATGAAAAAATTGTACTGGAAGAAAAAATGACGAGCCCCCCCCCTCCCCCCCATAGCATTAGCACCACCTTCGAAAAATGCCGTATTATTTATTTCGATTACTAAATGAGTCAATAAGTACAACTGATCCTATTCCTCCTATTTAAAGAGACAAAAAGGTGTTAAAACATGGAAAGGCCATCATGTACATTTGGTGCAGTAAGATAAGTATATTTTTCATGTTTAAGTTTCAGATCTGAATGGTCCCATAATCAAACCATTTTTAAAACAATTTACAATCCTCCGATCATACGACTCAAGGTTTTAACATTGTATAAGTAAATACTAAATGGTCGATAAAATATTGATCCTACTGTTTACAACAAATTTTGGGAAGTCTTTTTGGGAACCAAGTTTTGTCTTAAAACCACTCAACTTAATTTTTTAAACATACCTACTCAAAATTTCTGCGCTTCTACTGAGTTATGATCAGACATAAAAATGTCTCACAGACATCACAGAGATTTCTACTTATATACAGGGTGTCCCAAAAAAACCTGTAATGGTAGCTAGAGTGTCAGTTTTTGACTAATATTGCCGAATTTGGACATTATTGATATCTACTAAAAATTTCGGATCAATTTGTAGAAACTTCCCTCATTCTCGTACCAAATAAATAATAAAAATATAAATTCTAACACCAGTAAAATATATTATAGCTCTAAATTATGAAAGTTTACTCAATATGGCTGCCATTATTTGCTAGGCAAAAAGGTTGTTTTTCTGACTCGAAAAATTCTCTACCGTACTTGAAAAATCTCTTTATTACTCTTACAGGCTGAACAGTAAACGTAAAGTCTATGAAGTACACGTAAATATGTGCAGTACACGAACAAATTGTACAGTACACGATAATTGTTGAGTACATGAACAATTTGTACAAACAATACATACAGTAAATGAAACTGTACAGTACATGTACAATCTGTACATTAAATGAACTATCTCTACAGTACTTGAACAATCTGTACATTAAATGAACTACTCTACAGTACATGAACAATCTGTACATTAACTGAACTATCTCTACAGTACATGAACAATCTGTACATTAAATGAACTATCTCTACAGTACATGAACAATCTGTACATTAACTGAACTATCTCTACAGTACTTGAACAATCTGTATATTTAATGTTTTTATTTCCGATTTATGACAGTCACTGAATACATAGACATTTCTTATCCTAATGATAATTTTTTTTAACTGTAATATATCTTCAATTTTTTCAATTTGCATTTACAAAGAAAAAAATTTAATTTTCAAAATTTTAGACGAACAATTTCATATTTCTTTTATTTTTTGGTTCTCTTAGATAATCATCAAATAAAGTTTTGAGAAAAAATAAATAAAACAGTATTTTCATAAAAAGTAATAATATTTTGTTTTTCAATCTATTCTATTTTATATTTTATACACACTTCTAATTTATCTCAGAGGTTTATTCATTGACATTTTTATATTCACAAAGTAGTAAAACTGTAGAAAAACTTGGTGCCTAATGTAATACATAAGTCGTCATTCGTTCACATGATAACTAAGCAATTAACCCATTCCATGTTCGTAGATAGATATAAATTCTTCATACCCATAAATGTGATTTACCGCGTTATAGATAGAAACCGCTCATAACTTGTAATTACGCTGTAAATAACAAAAATCTAATATGAACTACAAAATATAGATCAGTTGATTGAGACTCTGCTTTTGATTACGTTATCAGAAGCCTAGTAAGCTTAAAAGACAGCTTTTGGTACTCGTTGAATTATACCAGAGCCTATGATTTAAAAAAACTTTGGCTCGAGCCGTGTAATTCCTTAAGACCACATCTTCGACCTAAGTCTGACGACAGCTTGTGTCACGTGATTGACAGCTGAAGGATCTTCGGCTCGACTTAAGGACTAGGAGTTAGGCCCAATGTAAATAAAACCAACCTTGGTTGGTTTAAATGGAAAATAAGGCTCAATGTTGAGTCTTGTTGTAAAAAAAAACCCGGAATGCGCCAATTCCTACCATGAAAATCCGCCAAATAGAATATTAAACCGGCTTTTTGAACTCTATTCGGTGGAAAATAAGATGCAGCTTGAATCCGAAAGCTCAAGTCGTAAATAAGGCTCAACGAAGCTTAGACCCGAGCCGTATTTTCCCGAATTTTTTAAATCGCGGGCTCAGTTGAGATATGGACTGTTAGCAATTTCAATTGGACTATGTGCCCTTCCTTTAGAACTGCAAGTTAAGATTTGGACTGTGTGTCATTTTGAACTGGGGAGTTAAGCCTGGTTGTTGAGATTTGGACTAGGTGTCCTTTAGAACCGGGAAGTTAAGCCTGGTTGATATTTGGACTGTGTGTCCTTCAGAACTGGGGAGTTAAGCCTGGTTGAGATTTAGACTGTGTATCCTTTAGAACTGAGGAGAGTTAAGCCTGGTTGAGATTTGGACTGTGTGTCCTTTAGAACTGAGGAGTTAAGCCTGGTTGAGATTTAGACTGTGTGTCCTTTAGAACTGAGGAGCTAAGCCTGGTTGAGATTTGGACTGTGTGTCCTTTAGAATCAGAGAGTTAGTACTGGTTGATCTTGTTAACGAAGAGACCTGGATAGATACGTCTCGAGTAAATTGCTAGGGAGTA